TTTTTTTTTTTTTAGTTTATGTTTGCTTGGTGTATCTTTTCTGTCTTCTTGTTTCTTTTTGCTTGCTATGGGTATTATATCTGGCCCAGGATGAATCTCTCCAAAAAATCATGATTTTTTTGATTAGTTTAAATAAATCAGTGATTTTTGATTTTTTTAATAAAAATCCATTTTTGCCCAACACTGATTTAAGAAAGTTAGTATTTTTATTCCCAGACTCCTTAGATCAATTCGATGCAAAGAAATATGAAGAGAAAAACATCTAACCAGTTAATAACAATAATAAAGATAGATCGGATCAGAATTCACAAGAGTAAAGCTTCATTAATGAGAATCTATTCAGAAACTACAAAATGTTGCACTTTAGAGAAGTAAATATAGAAAATGAAGCAACAATTTGAAGTACTATCTAAGGGATGACTCCATCCTGGGAAATACGTAGCGACTGAGGGTGCGAATAAGTAAAATAATGGACATTTATTTGGAAAAAAATTGGTAGTTACATCCGAAATCCAAACTTAATTTATATCTGCTATTTCTAAGTAGAGTTACTCTCGTTTGCCTGAGTCAAAAGCTGCAATGTACTTTTACATTATTAAAAAACTGGAACACACAAAAAATAACCCTCCTCTAGTGTGCAACAAGATGGCCATCTCCATAGTGACTCCCCCTAAGCATCCAGGGGTAAAATCTATTTTGGGATTCCGTATCGATATCCTAGAGGATTTCTCTGGAAATTTCCACGCTGCACGTAAGTGCATCGGCGCAAGTCTAGGATGCACTTATATTGATCCCGAAGTTCCGAACCATTACGTTTTCCCCTTCAGCCACCCATTTCGATTGCATGCAATCTACGCAACAGATTCTGGAATCGGCTAATTCCCCATATGGAATTCTCCAATGGAACTCCCCAATTCACTAATGAAATAGGTGGAGCAAGCAAAGGAGTGCAAACATTAACCAAGTAAACGAATAAATAGAAATGATTAGAATCAGCTAACTAATTAATCAGTTAATAGTAGTTCAGTGGGGACTTACATGGCGTGTCATCGGATGAAATCAAACAAAAACCGGCACATAACTCCAAACTCAAAAAAAAACGACGGTGTTTTGAACGGTGACTAAGACATGCCGGTTCGAATTTTCAAAAATCCGGGCAAAATAAGAAAATTGAGCAAACTGAAATGAGCCGAACAAGTGCCCGCAACCGACTCTTTACGATGCCAGAATGAAAATGGAAAACGGCCAGGGTAAACCGGGAGCTTGTGGGGAGAATCGACAGGGCAAAGGGAGGCAGGACATGGAGAGGGAGAAACAAGGTCAAAACTGATGCTCGGCCTCTCCTTGCTCCGCGTTTCGATTTTGCTTCCAGGAATACTGTGGGCGGGTGGCTCTAATGGAAGGAGGCAATTTGAACAACTGAAAAAGTTTTCGAATATTTTTTCTAAATCCTGTTATTTGCCAGCCTCAAAAGTAACATGCATTTGCAGGTGGAACGGTACAGGGGAGACCGGGCTAGTTTTCGCAAGGGCAACTTTTTATTTTCAACAAAAATTTAACAATTTTGGACGACTTTTACTTTACAAGACAACTTGATAAGCAAAAATTAGACCAAAAACTACTAGAAGAATATAGTCATGAAACAACTGAAAAAATGAATAAAATAAAAACAAAAGAAATGCACCAAGCAGCCAAAGAAGCCTTAGGTATAAAAGAGAGCATACCCAGATAGAAAGAGTATTGGTAGAACGATGAGCTGCAAGAAATGAAAAAAACAAAAGCAAAAGTTATTTCTCACACAAATATAGTGATAAAAGAGCCAAATTTAAATATTCGGTAGTAGAAGCAAAAAAACGAAGCTGAAAAAGGAAATGCCAGGAACTAGAAACATATAGTAGTGGAAGAAAACCAAAAGAATCCTGGAGGATTATAAAAAAAATTAAATCCCACAAAAAATGAAGAAAGAATATATAAAATCCATCGACCCTGTAAATTGCAAAAACACTATAAAGAATTACTAGCAGAAAAATACCTGAATACAATACAACCTATCAACACTAAGTACGGTTCAAGGGGTCAAAATCGACAAAATTGATGAACAGAATTCAACTCAAATATAAATGTCGGGCTGTTAATTAGTTAAATAAAGCATGATGCCAAACTTTGCTTCAATTGCATTACAAAATAAAAACGTAAAATTTGCATAATTCCCTTGTTCTATAATAGTTTGATGCGTAAATTAAACACCTTCTCCAGACGAAATTAAATAATGGCTATAGCCTTAATTAGGCAAATAACACAATTTAATACACACGAACTGTAAATAAATCATCCTGGTAATAAAATACATTAATCAAGAAACAAAATTACTCAAATTAATAACTAACCAGGGGCGATCGTTTTGCAAATTGCTACGTTATATGGATTTCCTGCAGTTTGAACAATCATTAGGCGGATGATTAAGTTTTAGTTGCTGTGAAATCAACCTGTTGTCGCTCCCTGATCTCAAGTTGTTGGTTTATTTACTTATACGTGACAAAACTTACTTGATTTTGATGTGAAAGCCAACTTCTTCGCTTTCCTTGCATTTGCAAATAGCTCAGTTCTCCATGTGGTTCCAAAAACTGGGGAGAACACACTCGGGATTGGTTACAATTTTCGAATACACCAGGCATCAGTCGTAGTCGATTGGCTGGACAAATTCCCTGAAAACAACAACAATTATATATATTATAATTTTTAAAAAGTGCAAAGAAGCAATTTAGGCATTGAATAGAAATTAGAAGAATTTGTGATAACTATTGCTGCTTATATATAAAATCATATTAAGCAGGGCAGCTAGAGACTAAAGTAAACATTCGGCAACTAGAGGTGGCAACTTAACAGGAATAACGATGTTTTATGACTCGTAGGAAAATAATCTATTTTAAATTAAAAAATCACTCCATGATAAGGCCGAACTAGATGGAATTATCTAAATTACTTCCTGATAAATATATAAACTGTCCCCTAGGCACATGATTATACTTAAGTTCGTTAAGAATAAACTTTTTAAGCAAAAATGTTAGGCTCCATCCTCCATTGATGGTAAGTGTTTCTAAAAAATGTTTTTTACAATATCGGGAGAATATTTCGCAGTTTTTAGACATTTTTTTAAAGAAAAGTTAGGCCAGATCGCCTTCTTTTGAGCCAAGGACCATTTGAATTAAATCCATATGGGACACGCATCATCTAACCGAAAAAAATCGACAGTCTCACATTATCTCTTTCGGTATAGACCGCTGTAAACACAGAATTAACAAAAAAAATGTTAAAATCGGAAACCAAGTACGATGCAAAAATCAAATTAAAACTGTACACTAAAGTAGACATTACACTACACTTACGCATTACACAAGAACAAGGGCTTAAAATAGTTGTTATTTTACATATGTATTTTCTTTATTTTAACGCAACTTTTCAAGTGATAACTTAGCTTTCAACTCAAGTAATAAGACTGGCTGGTAAAGCATTTAACAATTCTTCGTATATTTGAACTTCGTCCAAAGGATTTAGCAAATATTGATTTATTTCTGGGTTCTTCCCTTCTAACATGTGTGTTTCTTACTTTAAATAGCCACAATAGGTCTCGATTGTTCTGTTCCCGGATGCTCAAATATAACAGGAAATGCCTTTGTTAGCCATCTGCCATTTAATTTTTTCTTCGATCAACTATTTTTGTGTTCTGACTTTTCCCTATTCTATGTCATTTTCGCATTTTTTTAACTTTCACAATGCTATTATGGTTTTATAAAACAGTAGCAACAGAGAAAAAAATTAATCAAGAAATACAATTGCTAAGCGTTTGTGTTAATTGATTTTTTCATCTTCTGTCACTATTTAATTTTTTTTAAATTGTAGTATCAGGCAAAATATTGCATCGATAGTTATAATCTATATACCTTCTAATCTAGATAAAGCATTTCGAAACATTGTCGTATTTAGATAAGATATCAGTAAGTACTAGAAAACTTGTGTATGATTGCAATAAACTGGTTTGTAGAACGGGGACTATGCGAGAATGAAAGCCGAACAAAACTCAACTAAAAACATTTTTTTAAATATTCCAGTGCCCTCAGTTCTCAAAGTTTTGAGACTTCTTGACGCAGAATACAATCTAAAACACTTAGATGAAACGTTCTCCAAAAATTTACTTTAATATTCACCTCAAAGTTTACAACAGATTTTTTTTTATTTCTTGCCTTACTTAGTATACTAATGAAACATGAGCTCTTATTATCTTATTTGTGAACACCTACGTGATAACTGTAGCATAAGAAATGAAGATTCAATTAGTAGCCAACTTAATATTACTTTACATACCAAAAATACCTCAAACAAGAAGACACCATACTTATACCTATAAGTTCAGAGCTTTTTTGGCCTACATCAATAAAATTATATGCCCTTATAAGTAGAAACATTCCATTACTAAGCAATTGCTGATATAAATAGAAATATATATACCGTATAATAACCTGGGCATTCCTATTTCAGTGCTAAGGCATTAAGGCATAAGAACGAAATTGCTGCGACTACTTTCCAAGCTATTTCTGAACATGGACATTATAATTTTAAAGATACCTTTTGCTCTGTTATTGAAGATAAATGTCTGGGATGCCGTCAATTACGTTTGCCTATCTCGGCCAGTGCGATTTTATAACATTCAGTGCCATAAAGTTGGAGGAATTTTATGCGAATTTATCAATATCATGCTACATTTAACTGAAATGGCTTTGAAACCATGACCTGGCTTTGCGATCAAAATGATTGATTATTTCCAAAGGGACAGCCTGTTTACTTCCTATCGGCTTACGTTCAGATGTGAAAGGAAGTGAAAGACCTCAATCAATGGCATGTTTCTTCAATTCAATGTCGTTTTCCATGACTTCACTAATGCATTTGACTGCATCGTTCTTCAAATGCTCATTCAATAACTCAAAAACTTGAAGTATCAGTGTTTAAAAATTTTCTTCGTACTCACATTTTCAGTTTTTGTTTTAGTACTTTTGTTGTTGATTAATGATCAGGATAAAGATTGTTTTGATTTAACATGAACCACAATTGAAATCTCGATATTTTCAATAGCTTTGAAAAATTGGCGAGGCATTTGGGAGCAGTTCGAGCAGCATAACTCAGTTAATCTATGGATCGATTTGAATAGAGGATGAGTGCGAATAAAACGGTTGGGAGCGGTTGAAACGAAAATTATGCAAGATTCAATTTTTACTTCCAGTTATATATACATTAACTGCTAATACTTTGATCACAGATTATATTTACTTTTTTAAAGTAAAACAATATTTGCGTTGTTGAAAGTAAAATGCATTTGACACTGCCAACGTGGGAGTGCGTTTCGATATTTTGCTTATCTGGAATGTTCAAGCTGATAACATTTATAAATCATTACTGGGAATTTGCTTAGAAAACCCATAATGTGTTATTGTCCAAAATAATTTCATTGATATTTAACGGTTTGTACCTATCGCTGGGCGCGTTTTTTAAATTGTTTATTTATTCAATTTTAAATTGAATTTTGAAACAAAGATTGTGTGTTTCCCATTCTTTAAATTCTACAAAATTTAAGTTTGGTGTTCTGGAAATCTTCCAGATTATGAATTATCTCCAGATGGGAAAATTGCAAACAACCATCGTAAGTGTATCAATAAGTCGTATCAAATTTGAAGCATCTGGCCGTAGTGGAACGACGTCTTTAGATGCCCCATAAAATAATTAATAAAATAAAGTTTAGGGGTGAAACCAGCAGCTGCCTCAAATTGGATCCTTATGCTATTGATTGCCCCACGTACAAATTGAATTCACGTGTCTTTTATGACTAAAATACGCCGTGTGGTTTTTCCTGACAACCATTGATAATGAGTATGTTCAGCTTGATGTGGGCTTGGGGTTACCTAATTTAATTCTTTAGCGTTACAAAAATTAACGATTATTAAGCTACGAGCTGTTTTAATTTTTTTATTGAGTTTTCTAATATTCTGCTTTCTGTTAAAGCTGAAATTCTCGCAAATTTCTATAAAATAGTTGATTAATCAGGTCCGTTTTTGTTTCCCAGAATCCGCGATACCAAGTAGTTGAACCATAGATCCAAAAATAATTTCCTTATTATTCACACTTTGGACCTTATCCTTTTGGATTGACAGGCGTCAATGAAAGCTCAATCGATGCCAGTGTTATGTTATTAACAAAAATGGAAGAACTAAATTCATCCAGTGATGAAGCAATATTTTACGACGCCGTAAGCAAGGCAGATTTTGATCAAGCCAATAACAGCAACATCGAAACATTGAAGAATCCTGATTTAGAAATTGCCCAACTCGAGTTCTGGCTGCGACTACCAGAGTTTCTCGATGACGAATCAAAACGCAACAAATTGCTTGAATGCATTACGAAGAACAATATGGCACCGTACTATCAGCACGTATGCAGCACATTGAACTGGACGGTTAACACGACTCTTTTAAATGTATGTATTTGCAACACTATCTGATGCGATTCTTTCGAAAGAAAAACTCGTTGCTTTTTCTGGATCCCAATTATTCGTTTACTGATCCGAAAATGTCATATAATTATCTTTCAAAAAGGGGGCACGATTGCGTGAGACGAAAATAATTTGACTTTGAATTCTCAGGAAATGAGAGACGCCAATTCTAAAGCCTTGCAGTCTTTTGAAGATGAAATCGAATACGCCTGCATCCATTCGGGTGCCATCGACATCAAGCAGGCATACTTGAATAAAGCTAATTATTTAAGCAAAATAGGCGATAAGGAGAACACGATACAGACACTCAGTCAGGCTTATGCGAATACGGTGGATTTCGGCTCCAAATTGGATAACGTGTTTCACTGCATCAGGATCGGATTGTTCTTCAGCGATTTACCTCTGATTAGAAGCAATTTATTGAGGTGTGAGGATCTTATTGAGGAAGGACCCGATTGGCACCATCGAAACTGCTTCCGAATATACCAAGGTATCTTCTATTTGTTTAATTGCACATATGCTGATGCTGCGCCTATGCCCGCTAAATTACGCCATAACGGCTATTTGCGTTTCTTTAAATGTGCACAAGAAAATGCATAACCAATTTAGCGTAACAATTCCGCAATACCTACTCTTTATATGGGCTTCTTGGGTTAGCAGTTCTTGTGCCTACAATTTTCTGATCACGAACCAACGATGGCCATAAAGAATGTTTCAGAAACTCTTCTACCTCAATAAATTATGTCAAAAATTACATCATACTTCTTAAGGGGTATATGGGGATTGAGTAACAGTTAAAGAGCTAAATTTAACTTGGTGCTGATGAAACATTCTTATAAAACGTTCGGATATTTTCCACTTGAAAACGTTCTGTTCAACTGAACTTGCGCTGATAACTCAACTCATTTTTTGTAATACGTCTAGATTGGTTAGGCCCGGGTAACTCCGTTAAGTTGCACCGGCACAGTAACTCAGTTCCGTTGCTGGAAAATGCTGATACCTTTTTTCTTACTTTTTTTTAATTTATTTTAAAGGCCATTTATTAATAATATTTTTTAAATGACTTTAAATTTCAGAATTTTCCAGTTTTAGCCAAGTTACTCTTTCTTCTAAATGCTCAATTTTCTAAAGTTTCAGTTAAAAATGCTGACAATCTTAAGGTAGTTTTCGCGAAAAATTATGAAATAAATTTCGAATCCTTCGTCGCTTTGTAACAAGTTTTGAAATCCCTTTCCAGCTTCGAATTTGGACTGTAGATTGGAAAACTGTAAAATTTGTAAAAAAAATGTGGTTTTTTAGTTTTGACAAAATTTTTTTTTTGCTTTCCTTTCTACTCAAAAACGCTCTATTTTGTAGAGTTTCACTTAAAAATACTGACGTGCTGGAGAACTTTTCCGCGAAAAATTACAAGATAAATTTATAGCTTTGTAAAAACTTTACAAACACTTTTTCAGAGTMGAATTYGGGACAAAAACGAAAATAMATTTCTACCGTTTTTTCCCGAGACCATTAAGGTTTTCTCCAAAACCGATCACAAGACTAAAAGCTTTTAATCGAAAACRCAAAAAGCATTATTTTTTGTGTTCTTTCAAAAAGCAATTTTTTCTACGCAAAAATCGCATTATTGTTTAGTTTTACTTAAATACAATKTTCMGGTATTTTCTGTGAAAAATTATAAGTTCCAATAATTTTATTGGAACACTCGCCTYCTTAACCGCTTTGCAAAACTTTTTGTAGCTTCGAATTATGGACAAAACACTAATAATTATTTCGGASTCTTTTTCCAAAAATATTTCCCCGAAYTGAAATAGCGAAAGTTTATAATCATTTATTTGGAAAACTCTTGGAAACTGGAGTTTCTTCACTTTTAGGTCAATATTTCTAAACAACACTGTCTCTAAACAGAAAAAACGCGTTTTTCCCAACGTTTTCCTGTAAAATACTGGCAAACTGAATCTTTTATGCAAAAAATGAAGAGATCGATTTAACAAGAAAACTCGTCGACTTTCTTTGGACTCAGTTCTATTGTTGGGAAAATCTAGATTACTTTTTTTTAGTTGTTTGAACAAAGTAGTAAAAAGTTACTCAAAAAAAATGTTAATAACCCTTTTTTAGATGTGAAAATTCAATTCCAGTCTCGGGTCTCGTAAAGGTTTAACAAATGAATTATAATTTACAATAGCGTAACTCAACAGTGTTACCCAGGCCGGTCTGTTGCCCAAAAATGGTTTCTTATTCTTGATAAAATAATCATTTTTGGAAAAATTGGAATTTAAAGAATTTTGCAATAATAGACGGGAAATCTCGCATCGTCGTTATTGTTAACCGAATTTGTTAAGTGGACGAATAAAATATGGCTGAATCATCTTATGGATTCAGAATGGACGACGGTGATTATGACGGAAAATAAAATCCTTTTGTCCTTCTGATCTTAGCTTCCAATTAAGCAAAGTCGCTTCAACTCTCTTTGGCTTTGAAATCGTTTTTAACCATAAATGTTAAAATGCATTCAAAAGAACTGCATTCGAATAATTGATCTCTCTTATTTTGGTCCTAATTACTGTCCCTTTATTGTTTCATCACTTTGTTCTTTGCTAAAAAATTGCAATCGGTCCAAACTAGGTGTGTTATATGATCGCATAATAATTCTAAACAGAGAATGACTTTTGGCTCCTTTGGCTTAAACGAAAAATAGAGGGAGACATGATTTCTCGTTGTATTTTAATTTTAATTGTCAAAATATGTGTTCCATCTTAATACAGAGAATAACGAGGACGAGAAAACACGTGTTTAAAAGACGCAAAAAAAGTTCAGTTAGAAAAACAACTTGAAGCAAAACTGTAGACGAAAATTCGAACAAAAAAATGTTAGACTCTAAAACATTCCAATGAACCTCTTCCAATCACCAGCATAATTTTGACTCATTAATTTTTTTCAAATTCCATTGCGAAAATCGCACTAGAACCTCGCCAGAAGAATGACGACCATTCTGATCCTGTACAATTACTATTTTCAGGTTTACACGCTATTGCTACCAGAGACTTTTCCACATCCTGTGAACTGTTCACAAGTTCAATCGAAACCTTCGTCTGCACGGAAGTGATTTCATTCGATCAATTTATCAAATACACCGTCCTTTCTGCCATGATCATCCTCAATAGGAGCGACTTGAAGAAGAAAATCATTTCCAATCCCGACGTGCTGCAGGCGATGCATTGCAACAATTCCTTGAAAGAATTCGTGTTCACTTTCTACCACAGCGAATATAAGAAGTTTTATCAAGCCTTGGCTGAAGTAGAAGCGGACATGAAACGGGACATGCTCCTATATCCGCATTATCGGTTTTACGTAAGGGAAATGAAGATCAAGGCCTGTGATCAGTTGTTATCAAGTTACATATCGTTGAAGATCTCGTATATGGCCGATCAGTTTGGGGTGAGTGAAGATTATGTGGAGGACGACATCAGCCACTTTATTGCCTCGAAGAGGCTGAATTATAAAATTGATAAAATTAGCGGACAGATCGTTAATATCCGAAGCCATGGAAGGGCGGGGATGTTTGAGAATCTAATTAAACAAGGTGATTTGCTGATAAATCGGATTGACAAATTAAGTAGGATTATTGATATTTGATCATGTTCTACAGGGTGTTTCAGAAAGCTTGCAGCAACTTCCAAATAAACACGAAATATTAATTAGTCTATTTTTTATGTTTTATTTCAGGTATATTTTCAACAACAATCACGCCTACTTTAGCATTGCGTATTCATAGATTTATCGTGTAATTTGCAGCGTCCTTAACATTGGAGTTATTTATTTGCTTCATGAATTTTACGTTCCAAGGCGCCGCCGTTCTAAATTTCCTTTTACAGGTATGGTTTTGTAGGTACTACCATACAAAGGTGATATGAAAAATGTGCAAGGAGCTGAAAAGCTGGCAAATAATTCAAGATATTATTTATTTTCCGAAAATTATAATGAAATAACTTTTGGTGTAATACAATTATAGGCATATTAAGAAAAATAACATATGCAAATATGATGCTCATTAAGTATCCATTCAGTATTTCCTGGGTTTTAACACAGGCACAAACATTAATGGCAAGGATTAATAAGGAGAATTAACAAAGCCTTGAATATAGACAAAAGAAAAATATTTTCTGTGGGTAACAGTAGTGCACATGACAAATGAATGCAATTGATTTTTTTTTTATTTACCTGCATAAAAATCAAAATGAGACACAATTGCAAAACAACAAGGAACAATATAATTTAGAAAAACGTAGCGATCGGCAACACATGTATTTATCATGGTTAAAAATGCAACTCAATAAATAATTTAATTAAATTAAAAAATAATCACTACGTATATAAGACAGATTCCACTAAGAAATCCGTATGCCAAATTAAAGATAACTATTACCAATACTAGAGAAACTAGCATTTCCGAAACGTTTACACCTTCTAGACTGGTCAGAATTTATTTGCAACATGACAAATTAATGAACGCCTTGTAAATACTATAATATCCATAATTAAACAGGCCATAAAAGATGCCAAAGCAGCTGGCAGAGCAAATGTGCTCAAAATGATTGCACGTTTTTAGAATATGTAACTACCACTGTATGATGTGACCGTATGACTGTATGATCAGACCTGCAGACGAAAGAGTACAATGGAAAATTGTTACTCAACTTCGTCTTTCTTTGCAAGTCCCTTGTATGTAATAATGACGAAGTATCGCCTTTCCAGCTATTACCGTTCATCATTGAATTATCGTCTGTTTTCTTTAGTTTTGTCATCAATATGCATGCTTTTTGAATCACAAATTATTTTTATATTTTATAATTTATTTACCATCAAATGTTTCTCATTAATAATGCTGCTTCTTACAAATATAGCGTTTTTAATGTTTAATCAAGCCGTAGCAGTTTGTAACTGCTGAGAAATATGTTTGTATTCGTCAATTCACCCTTAGGGTTTTGCAGATTTTACCTTAACTTTAATTACGCATTGGGCGTTTTCTTTTAGCTCAATTAAACAAATTGCTAAAAAGAACAAAAGTAACATTTAATAAGAATGCCAGTAATTGAAAAAACATCAACACCGTTTTAAAATCGAATTTTCAATCTATTACTAAACCATCTGCCACAAGCTGCATTACAACTAACAAATCCCAGATTTTAGCAGCGCTCATTTCTAACATATTTCGTGTCGTTTGCGAACTGGACATTAATAAAAGGAAGCCGCAGGCCAAATACTTTCTTCGTGCAATGTCCATTTATCACTGGAAGTCATCGAGAACATACCGCAGCAATTTGTTATGGCTTCAATTTGCCAACGATCCATTCTGGGCCAAGGCCTCTGGTTTATATAAAAACCCCGAAATCTCAAGCGGATTGTTGTACATCGGAAGATCGGAATGTAAAGCAGATCGCCGAAATTACATAAAAAAATGATTTTGGTCCCAATGCGCATAATAATCGCCGTTCACAAATTATTTAAGAGTGAGCCAAGAGCTTTTTTGAGCTTCCAAGGCGGCCAAGAAGTTTATAAAACTTCATTTTTCTTCTAAGCTATAGCAATGTTACGGACGATTTTAAGTGCTAATAATGAACAACTTTTAAATCCCTGTTCTAAGTTGCAAGTGCTCATCACTTCTAGAAAGTTGGTAAAAATAAAAAGTCATCTTCTGAAACCTGAGGTACTTTTACTCTCTATAACCAATGATTCTTAATATTTTCGGTAATTGAAATTGTAAAAAACGCATTATTCAGCTGGAAACTGCTTTTAATACAATTTAGAGTCAATTAGAACTTCGAGTAGTCCCAAATTGCCCATAGGTTTAAACAACCTTCTCTGAATTCAAGAGTAATTCCCGCTTGCAAAGTAAAATGTCCATTCTATTTTCTCCTCTTCCATGTGAAATTGCAGTTCTAATAACTTCACAAAACATGATCCATAGATGCAATTTAATTCGATTTATACACGCGATTGCCCAGCCCAAAAGAAAAAAGTCGATTATTAAAGTGGTTTAATAATATTTAGGCTGAGCATGTCGGTCATAAATTAAATTGACTTAATAATATTATCCCCCGTTTTGGCTGTCAATTAATCTTGGCGAAAGCGTGAAAAATTGTTTATTGCAGGTTGCATTTTATCAGAACCGTATCGAATCGAATAATGGACGAAAGAATTACCTACATGAATCTTCACAAAGAAAGCAATAAGAAATGTATTATCTTTTGCCTTATAGTAATGAGATGAGTTAAAAGTGCATAAACAAAGTTTACCAAAACAAACAACTAATTATCATCCTGAGTAGGGAATAACGGTGCCTAATTTGAATTAACCATGAAGATGAGAATCGGCGTGGATCGAGAGAGTTGAGATTTATTTTACAAACATTTTCCTAATTAAATTTAAACTCAAATGCCAGAGTGGATGTTAGCTGTACGTAAGACGATTCCATCTTCGCCTAGATGGACTGAAATGACTCCACTCATGTGCCATTTTAATAGGGGACTTCATCTTCTTTGATTAGCACATGGATCGTGAGCTACAGCTAATTAGAACAGCGCTCCGTCCACTTTGGAAGCAGAAAATAAACTTTATTTGCACCATTTGTACTTTTCGTACATTAAGAAACATTCAAGGAAGTGATGGTGGCCCAGAAAATTCTCAAGAGTTGGCAAAATATGATGGTTTATGCGCAAATAATTTTTCATGTTTTTTGCCATTTACCAATTTGATTCCGCACCAAAATCTAAAAACGTACTAAAAAAGGTCCCCATTTTAATTTATTTATAGCAAGAAATAAGAAAATTTTTGTCTGTATAAAAACGATGAATGGTATAATATATAAAAATAAATTTATAAAAAGGACAAAAATTTCGAGAAGAGATAATGTTTAATCCAGGCAACAAAATTGATTCCACTTTGGCAGTTTTATCAAAATATGGGTTTAATATAGGAACAAATTCACAGCAACTTTCAATAAAACCTATCGTAGAATTCCACTGATATTTAAAAAAAAACAACATTTTTTGACCATCAATAGCTTCACATCTAGCAATATAGCCTTATACGATTCCACAGACAATAGTTTAGTCAATTGTAATTCTTATCTGTTTATGTTGTATGTTGTTTATAATAAAAAATTGTCTGAAAATTTTGAATTTTTTCATGACATCAAATTAGCAACCTTTCCAGCTCCTTAAAAGTGATCAAAAGTTCAAAGATGAATTATGTAGAAATAAGCATTACAGCTAGAATCTCAACAAAACAAACGGGAAATTTCCACTTAAATTCCAATGATTGAGGTAAAAGCACGTTTTTCCAGCGCTATTGTCTCGCATCTTCAGGATTGATTGCTTGTAAAATGAGACTGAGAGTCGGAATTGTAATTAAAATATCTTTAACATTCTGAACATAATTTATAAATAAAATTACACACAAAATCAGGGTTAATTCAAAATAAAACGTGGCAAATAATTGGAAATAGCTTTGAATTAGCAATTGTAAGAAAATCGTGTTGAATTAGTTGGTGCAAATACAAAAAACTACGGGATTAAAAAGCTGGCCAACAGAACGAAAAGTTTTCTTCACTTCTCAACTTCAGTGAACAAAAAAGAACATGAAAAACTGCAGTTTCTTTGCAAAAATGTGTAAGTTTTGACCCCCGTACGTCGGAAATATGTCCATATGAAAGTTTTAGTCATCAAATAATGCTAGAATTAATTGCTATGTTTGGTGCGTCCCTGATCTTTACAGTGGAATGCTCAGTATGTACAAATGCATTAAGTAATTTTATACAGCCTGAGTAACTTTTGCTGTTAAGAAGGACTAAAACGAATATCAAAAGATATAACAATAACAACTGCTAAACTACTTGAAAAGGCGCAAAAGTAACAAAGCAGATAGAACAAAGTCAATTGTTTCAAATGACTTTTTTTCGCAAATTGTTGCCGCATTAAAATAGCGCCATACTTTAACTTTGAAGTGTATAACTTGAACGACCAAAGTTCTGGTCATATTGAACAATGCACTTGAAAAAACAAGTTATCGAAGCAAATCATGCAGTCAGTAATGGAAGTTTGAGGTAAATAAATTGCTGAAACACTCACTTGTCTTCCTCTTAACGAACACAGCCACCAACCCTCCAAATTGGCCGTGTTCTGTTCAAGAACTACCAAAGTGTCGCCTTTTTGAAATGCCAATTCATCTGCAGTATCTGGGGTATTGTCGTAAAGGGCACGAGCTACACAATGCTGAAACAAAGAAAGCGGAATTTTAATAAAAAATAAATGTAATTGTCCAACTTAATTTGTTCTTTTGCTCTGGTTTTTCTACCGATGTTTCGCCTGCAATCGGACAAAACATTTTCAAAGGCGATGCGATGCGACTCGGACAAAGTGAACGTCCATCATGCAGATAAGTATAGTTTAGGAAAGATATTTTATAGCTTCCTCTTCACCTTAGATGTAAGAGAAACGTTTGGTATACAACATCTATTTATGTCTACGTTTCCCGTTAAGGTAAGCTAAAGTTAGTGATTTATGTGTGTTTCACTCAAACTTGAATTTACGTTTAAAGCACAAAATCCAGCGTCACTGCCTGGAAACGCAATTAAATGACCTCTAGAGGCTGACGACCATCTGTGCAATAAATGAAAAGATGGTACATAAATCTGTAATCGACATGTGCATATATCTCATCTTGCGCTCCATGTGAAAAACTCCGCTCTCATGTTCCCCATATTATTTTCCCGTGTGGACGTCATTCATTCACGTAACGACGTTTGAAATAGAGCTGCTGGCTGTTTTTTCTTCACCACAGAAGCACATTGATCAGACTATTTGAAATAACAAAAATATTTGCCTTTCTATCACATCACTCACTACTTCTTGTCAATTTATTAATCCTTGTTAAATCACAATTATTTATTTGAAGATCTAGTAGTTTTTGCAACTAACACAAAACACTTGACGACGTTTTCAAATTTCCAATAAACTAACGTTGTAATGAAAAAAATCTGAAACCTAACCGTTTCTAAAAAACTTTTTAAAACCCGATTAAAAACCTGAAGCATATCCATTTCCTATTCTTAATTATCTATTAACAGCTCTTAAATTTACAATGCGCTTTCCGGATCTAGTCCTGACCCTTTTATCAATCAACTTCTGGTCTGAAAGTGGTCGTTAAAGAATAATCGACTAGACAGCATTGTGCTACCGAAAATATATTATTTCATTCAGTTCCCTTTCAAAACCCTTTCAACCCATTTGATGGGTTGGAAACCACCAGAAAAGGCAAATATTATGACTGGGGATTAAAGAATGGAGAAGCTTTATCTATTTTTTAAGCGGATTATCTATGCATGTCTGATATTGTGTATTAGATTTCAATAACATGATTCTCCAGAAAGTTATACTTTCCTATTATCTAAGATGCTGATTTATAGAATATCACAGAAAGTAGGTACTGAGCGTTGTTTATAATGTACAAGATTAATGGTTTTTTTCCGCTTCTGTGTAGCATTTATAAGTGTGTGCAGCAAATGCAAGCCAAAGTATGGATGTTGAAGCTTTTAAGTGAGGAACTTTCTAATTTCTTTGCACACATTTCAATATTACAAACTTTGGCTGCTTTACCACCCCTAATTCCAATATATAACATGTAAAATTTGGCAACTAAGCGTGAGTTTAAAAATTATATTGAATCTAAAACCGCTTTTTAATGGAGTTTATGGAATACGTTTAATTCCTGCTTAATGGGCAATTTAATTGCAAATTTCCAAAAAAGTTTTAATTCGATTTTTTCCTTCCACAAGTTAGCCACCAAAACAAACTCAATCATTTTAATTAAAACTGTTCAAAGTAATAAACCGAGTTCAATTAGAATGAATGGTGAATAAACCCTTATAAATTCTACTCAAAACACTTCTCAACCGAAAATACTTGAACACTGAAAACATTTTAAGTACTTAATTTATTTCGCAATCTTTCAATTCAGTTTGATTTGTTGCTTGTTTGTATCTGTGTAATTGTACATTATTAGCCTGCATTATAAGTTTTGAATACTTGAATACTCTTTTTTATACAAGCAGCCACATTGAAAAAAAATCAGATCATGGTCTTAAACATCTTTTAAATTCTATTCCATTTGTTCTATATTGAATCGCACGCCGACATGATTTAAAGCTTTTTAAAGGGATTTTTGTAATATGTTTAGTTAGTTTATGCGTATTGCGAAAAATGATGGCAACTCTCGAAAAACTTTTCAAATTCGATTTTTTGTTAGAATTCCAAAATGCTCTTGAAGTGGGGGTGAGCAGCAACTTTTTGGGAGATATATTTTTTCATTTTATTTAATTCTTTCACGATTTAAGCGCAAAGAAAACAAACTCAAACATGATAAAAAGCCTCAGCAGTTTCCCTGTTCGTAAGTGCTTCTCAAGCACTTAATTATTTGAATTACAAATTAAATTCAATGTGCAATAGAAAATATTTCTAAATTTACTTTAACATTTTTAACCGGTTTCTGTGTTTTCAAAAACACGAAATTAAAAACATAAAGTTTACAAGGGGTTTCAATTGTTAAAATCCGGTAGAATAAACGGTTCTAGTAGCAAACTTGTTTCGAAAGTTGCGTTTTATGCTCTCTTATGGCGTTTAATTAGGTATAGGATTATCTGATCCTTTAAATTGCCACAAAAACACTTAATTCAAACGAATTATACGGTTTTAAGTGTTTTGGACGAAACGTTTCTGAGTATTTTAAAGCTTGAGCTAAATGAATATAACGCATTCTATACAATGAAACACTTTAGGTAAAAAGTGTATATTCTCGACATACGACTCTGAAACAATGAATTCCTGGATCGCAATCATCTTTAAAAAACAGTTAAGTAAACTTTTCAAGGTAAAAAATTATTCAACAACTCTACTGAAGTCCTTTTAAGTACCATCAATCAACATGTCCATGAAATTAATTCCATAACAGTAAGTTATGAAAGTAGTGTGCCTTACAAATGCAAACTATTAGAATTGCAGGATCTTACCAGCAAACAGTTAAAAAGGTGTTTGATATTTAAAAATTGAAGAGAAGACCTTAAACTTTCGGAGTTTCAGCAGCGATATAAACTGGTACGGAAACAGGAAAATATTCCCTCTTACTGAAGATATAATATAAATTCAATGTTTTCTCCCCAGTCATGGACCTACAAGAACTAAAAGTGTAAATTATGCAAAAATCAATTAACTAACTTCATAAATTTCCGCCTAAAATAGTTAAACAGACAACTGTTAGTGGCTAGAAGGTAAAACATGACTATGCTTATTAAATACTACTCCATTGAGTGTAGTTTTCGATAAAGTGATGTAATCATGAATGTGGTATGGTGATTCATGCGAACTTTCGAATCGTTTACTGGAGAAACAGGTTATTAATAGTCACATTTCGGTTTCGAGGTAAACCATGCTTTACTGGATTGCCCAAGATTTCATAAAATATCAAAAACATACTAAGAAAACAGAGAACCTATTGAGTTTCCTTAAAAAATAAATTTCTCTAAAGTGTTGCTAGTCGAGGATTAATCAGCAGGCCTCTAAAGTCTACGACCACATATGGTGGTTTCTATTGAGATAAAGAGATGCCTATTAAATAAACACCTATCCTTTCAATAAGCGAACATTTCTGCCCATTTGCCACATCGTTTCATTCAAGATAACCACAGCTCTGAACCATTACTCAGGGGTCTGCAAAATGTCACATGTGGTGGTACTTCAAAGTGATCGCCCACCACAGTGCAGCCGTTAGAATTATGTCCTTCTTGAATAAAACCATGGAGGATAAAGTTGCCGACAAAGTGTCGATGTTAAAATTGACTTTAATAGGGTTTTTTCATGGTGGTGTTGAGTTGCAGCTAATTTGTATGTTTTTATTCCAGTGGGATTATGCGATTCGTAGTACTGTGAAGTTCTGGTCAAGAAATTTCGTCACTGCGATGCAGTCATGTTACTGATTCATTCGCATCCACTTGGACTCCATTTAAATACGTTGTACCATACAAAAGTTGTTAATTGGGCAACAAATAAATTGAGATTTAAACAAAAAAGACCGAAGAAAATCAGTTCGAGCCGATGAAACTGTCTCTGCAATAAAAGATGATACGAAGTATTCACTTTTTCAAACAACAGAATCGCATAGTGAAATATTAACAAAACAGGAAGACTTTCGCTCATTCATCACCTCAACCATTATCAGCTCAAATTTCCATGAACCAACAACTTATAAACTTTATATTATTAAGCTTTATAAACCACGTATAAAATAATACACACGTGATACATTCAACCTACAATATAAATGATTGTTTCTTATTACATTCATGACTATTTACCAATTTTAGAATAGCGGGCTGGTCTGTTTATATTCATTCAACTTCGAGTTGTTCGAAGAACAAAAAAATGCGTTTTTTTGGTCGTCTTAATAACATCCTTTATGTGTATGGTCGAAAGATGAGATCTACATATTTAATATTTCCGGTGCCGACAGGCGATGTGCCTCCTTAGATCTTTAAATGTTCGTGTATTTTTTGGAGAAACCGGGATTAGATGGAATCCAGTAAATTTCAAGTAATTGTATATAAAAGTATAGTTTTATCTCAGAATTATTCTTTTTTACTGTCATACTCTTATCTACAGACGCATTTATCTGCACGTCACAAATAATAAAGACCATTGTTGGAAGCTTTTATTAATCCTAACGAGCTTAAAAATATTATTAACAACTTGAAAAATGGGAAAAGAGAATGAATGATTGCCGTGATATAAACCCGATTATAATATGTTTAAGAATCTCTCTCCTACTAAAAGATAAAATGTGTTAATATTTGAATCTTATGCAATTAGCCGCCGATGTGTTTTATATCAATAAATCGTTTGGAAACGACTAAATGTTCATAAATTCTAATCTAAACTCTTTGAACACTGCTGAATGAAACACAAATGTTTTGAGTTCATTTATGTCGTAAGAGCAAACTTAATTGCACTTGCATTCAACATTATTTCAATCTTTTGAAAATACTTAGTTTGTAAGCTAATATTTGTAGTTGCATTTTTCACACTTTGTTATACCTCCAAACAGTCAAATTGAAAAAATCATTTAAATTTATTGAACATGTTTTAAAGTCTATTCTATTTGCCCTAGAGATAGAACAAACTTACGAAGCCCTAATCTGAAACACGTTAACAAAAGAAGTAGAAAA